GATATAGGTACTAATAACTTGACTTATCGTGCAGCTGCCGATAAGTATGGCATACCAAAATCCACTTTGAAAAGAAAATTTCATAACAAACATATGAAATCTCCGGGAGGTCAAACATCCCTTTCTGCAGAAGAAGAGAACATTCTTCAAGAAGCGATAATAAATGCAAGTGAATGGGGCTTTCCATTGGAGAAAGAAGATATTGAAGATTTGGTGAATGGCTATGTTATGAGACAAGGTAAAAATGTCAAGAAATTTCGCAACTCCAGGCCAGGCGACTCGTGGTATTATGGGTTTGTTGCAAGGCACAAAGATTTAAGCTAGTCCGAAAATATCAAACGGGACATGTCAGCTGTATCGACAGAAATATTAAATGAACATTTTGACAATTTGTCCACCTCACTGAAAGATGTTCCACCTGAAAATATTCTGAATTATGATGAGAGTGGCTTTATGGATGACCCAGGTCGTAATGAAGTACCTATTGGCCAGGAAAAAATCTAAGCATGCTGAAAGGGACTTTTCAAAAAGTAACACTTCGGTAATGTTCTGTATGAGTGGTTCTGGCGATACCTTGCCCCCGTACTATATACTATGTAGCAGACCATATCTGGAGCACCTGAACTGAAAGGGGGCCACTAAATGCTCGCTACAATCGTAATAAGTCGGAGTGGTTTGATATGGCACTCTTTGAATATTGGTTTTTGACGATAGCTCTACCCTACCTCAAGAAATTGAATGGGCCTAAAGTTATGTTGGGTGATGACCTTGCGAGTCACATTTCAGTTAAAGTTTTGCAGAAATCTGAAAATAACGAAATTCGATTCATATTATTGCCACCCAATAGTACCCACCTCACACAACCCCTCGATGTGAGCTGCTTTCGCCCGATCAAAGGTGCCTGGCGAAAAATCTTAAAATTGTGGAAGAGGCAAAATCGCGTTCCTTTGAGAAAGGACATGTTCCCCAGTTTACTACGTCAAGCCCTAGCAAAAGTTGGCTCAAACCAGTCAGAAAATATCAGAGCAGGATTCAGAACTACAGGATTGATTCCCCTTGATCGTGATGCTGTCTTAAATGAGATACCGAAGCAAGATCGCAAGCCTAATGACAAGGCCGCTGAAAATTCCAGCACTGAAACTCTGAAGGATTTGTTTCACGTCAGTCGATTCGGCAACACCAGAGATGGCTCTGCCAGTGGTTCATCTAAGGAAATCAAAAGAAAGAAGAAATTGAAAGTAGCAGCGGGAGAAAGCATGTCTTTTGAACAAGTTCAAAAAACACATGCGGAAAGACAGGAAGGAATAGAGGCAGAAAAATCGAAGAAACGAAAGAAAAAAACCAAAACAATTTATGATCTCTCTGACAGTGACTCCGCAGATCCTCATGACGTAATATCTGAACAATCACATGCAAAAAAAACAAAGAATCTGTTTCCGAAAATGATGAAAATGACGATATTGCAGGAGAATAATCATCAGATCAGACTTACGAAGATGATAAAACAAGCTACAGTGACCTGGAAATAGATGACTTCATAATAGTTCAGCTCAAGTCAGACAAAGGACGGAGTCAACGATTCATAAGACGAATTATTGGGAAAGATCCATATCTTTGTTCCTTCCTAAAACCGAATTCGAAAAAAGACAATGCTCATTATATTCCCTGTCATTTTGGATGAGGGGTATATAGACTCGCACGGGTTCATAGTCAAATTACCACCTCCACAAAGGTTAAGGAGAGGAGGCATGGTTTTTAATGAAATTGCTCTGAGAAAATTTGTTATCTAATCACTAATATTTAAGTTTCTGTTGAGAATTTGAGTTTATTCTTTGTTTTAGTTTATCTGAATGAGATATTAAAATCACAATTATATCATTGTGCCTTATTATTAAATCACCCTAGTAGCCTCAAAAACCATTCAATTTTGTTCTAATTTTCGATGCATTCGTCAGATATATATTTTTTAAATCTTTATTGCGTCCCAAGACACCCTATTGAAACGTTTCTTGACGAGAAACATGCAAACATGTGTTCAAAATCGATGGGTGACTTGAGACAGCATGTTTTAATTTTTTTTTACCAAACCGGGTGGATTTTTTGCACCAAATTCCATCCCAACTTGTAGTCCCAAGTATTTGGCATGCTATAGTATTTTTTAAAGGAGCAAAAGTTTCGAAGTTTTTCAAATACGGTCAATTGAATCTCAAAATCATCCCATGTCACCCAATTCTACAGTATCACAATTATTTATAAATCGAAAAAAATATTTGATTTGCAACCATATATGTAATGTTGTCATTACTACGTCATTGAAGGTTGGGAGGTGTCACATTACACACCTCTACTTTCCGCCCTCACTAATGTAATATTTTAGATATGTTCAGAACAAAACAGAGATTTATCAGTTTTGATCGAAATATGATGGTTGTAAATAAAATAGTATACAAACGTCGGTGGAAGTTTCATAACAGGAAAAAATCTCTTTCCACCTTGGTTTTCTGAGAAATTGTTCTGGAATTGTTCTATCTGTCATTCGGTTGCCCCCTTACGAGCATCCATCAGAAGTCATCGAGAGTCTTGTGCGAGCAAGGAATGACGGAGGCCTTACCTTTCAACGTGTGATCTCAAACACTTTGTGTGAAATATACTATTCAAGTCTCCTACAGAAAAGATAGATTCTGGGACGAGCACTATCTGAGGAATACCCTTAGTCCGACTGTACACGGTGCCATTTTGTACAAACTTGTTTCACCCAAACATCAGTGCAGACACGAACCGAAAGACCAATTAATGTGCCGAAGTTGCGCTTACATGAGAAGGAATCACAATGCTCTCAGTTATAGTTTGTTTTGTCCATATTCTCGCAATAATGCAGTGCTCTATAAAAAAGCGAGTGTACAGATGGGATTTTGCGGGACGAGCGAAGCAAAAATAGCTATTTTAGGCCGATGATAAGGATACTGCGGCGGATTTACCGGTACTCTTAGTATTCTTAAGCTTAGGGCCCCTACTTCTGCACGGGCCCTGCATTGCATAATGATTTTCCCATATAATTTGGTTGTATGAATGAAATAATAACAAAATGAATTCTTTCTCTGAGCAATAACTACTTAATTTATATAGTGGCCGCAACAAAATTGCAAGTTTTTTAAATATGTTAGACATTATAGTAAGGGAATGATGGCCGAATTTCCAGAGTTATATACGGCTTTCAAAGTTTCTTTAAAACTACCCAGTGACCATCAGTTGCGAAGCAGAGCTTTGATTGAAAAAAAAATTAAAAATAATTAGACAGCATTTGTCAATTTTCTTTTTCAAATGGTATTGTATGATTTCTGATTTTTTTTTCTGATGAGATTGTTCTTCTGAATACAATGATATATAAAAAGTTGATCGCGCAAAACAAGTTGAAAAAATGTATACTCCTTCAGAAATAAATTGATTTTTTCATCAAATTTTCTATAGAGCCATCGAAAGCTGAGTCCATTCCTTATAAACAAGACGTTATGATGTTGAGATAGTTTATTGGGAACAAATGACTGTCTTAGGTGATTACAAACTAGAAAAAGTATAATGAATAATGCATTTCTTGATGACGGAGCATACATTTTTTTCAACTAATTATGCGCAGAAGTTTTTTATACATCATTGTATTCAGAAAAAAATTTCAGAAATTTAAATATATGAGGCCATCGAAGAAAGTTGACAATCGCTGTCGTTATAGAGTTGACATTGGAAGAAGGAATTGGTATGTGGTATCTGCTGAATAATTTGCTTTTCTATTCTTCAAAATAGTTTATAGCCATAGCGGCGCAATTTCTTGATGCGTTTTTTGTCAGTCAGCGTGTATATATAGGTATTATTATTTGTCTTCGCAAAACAAATGAATCCGTATTATCACAACCACTGATAGACACAGCTATAGACCTGCACTTGCAGTGTTATAGCAGGTCTAGTGTGCTGGAGTCAGTATGTAAGGCTAGCTTCAAGACTGATTCTTTCGTCCGAATGTTAAACCTTTGAAATTGCTAAGATACATTAGCCCTGCCCCACTGGGTACAACCCACAGATTCACCATGTGTGGGAATTGGAATTTGGGAAATGGCCTTGGTTGACATGGTATATTCATTTCTGACACCCATTCTTCCTGGATTCCATCCGGCTGCCTATAGCAGGGAGTTTTATACATTACATTAGTGAAAAATCTAGGTAACAACAAATTTTATGAAAAAAGAATAGATGGGGAGTAGTCGCTAGCTAAGCTGAAGGTCCCGTATTGGATTCCGGTTACCACCTACTGTTTTTATTAATTATTAAAAAAAAATCTGAAAGCTACCATTGGGGCTCGATAGTGATTCATATTTCAATGATACTTTTTTCAAGGAAAGCGAAGCGATCGTTCAGAACACATTGATTCACTTTTTAAAAAATATGAATTTATTGCCATACGAGCCTCCATATTAGAGAACTGTTTTTCGTCGTTAGCCGAGGACTATTTTTCATTCGAGTGAATACGACTCCTCAGATGGTGTACGACCTAGACTACATTGAAGAAAATCTCGTCAAAAAGAATGTAACCAGAGGGCTTCATTTATTACTAAAATCTTTATGATTTGCAAAAGTGAGTCGGGTTACACGCGTTCCACTTTCCAGTCGCAATTTCCTTCGGTGAGTTATTGATTCCCTTGTGCTGAGCCCTTGAGAGACAATCAAACAACAATAAATGGTTCACTTCATTATTAAGAATTGATTCAAGATTTGATAAGAGTTTCAAGTGGAGTATAAAGTTTTACTAGACTCAACTTGCTATTGACAAAAAACGTGCTTTTTTGAAAAATTGAAAATGTCAAGTTTCACTAAAACATGGTTCAAGAATACCAAGTCCATCAGAAGTGAACAGAGGAGGTGACTTTATGTAAACACATGAATCTATTCATATTTGAGATTTCAGATCAAATACATAGGAATATCGATAGAAGAGAAGATTATTGAATTACCTAAGTGAAGGTGCAACATACCGATCACTCGAGCGAGAAGTAGTACTCTGAAAGCAAGCAATAATAAAATTAGAGAAAAACAATATTAGCAGATTGGCAAGATGTTACAAGTTACGAAACCAAAACCAAGGATTGCATAGGAAATAATGACACAAACTACTGCACATGCCCTCAATCCGCAAGACGAAGCTGGAAAAAACTATTAATGATCAAACCTTGGACGAGGCCTATCTGATAATCTGTTGCTTCCCAACCGCTCACGAAATGGGGATCCAGGACCTATAATCTGAAAAGAATAAAATTATGTAGGTGTATAAAAAATGATGATGACACACTGGAATCGGGGCAAACTTTGATCTGAAGTTGATTTCCAGCAATAACCCACCAATATTTCGAGATGTTTTGTTCAGATCTCGAAATATTGAGAGCAGAATATTCATTTAGGTTTCAGTAGTATTTTCAGTTTCTGGATAATAATTCTAAGTTATATTTGGAAAACATTTTATTCAATCTGGAAACGATCTCATGATGATCGATACGTGTTTTCAATTCAGTTATTATATAATGAAAGTTGAAACTGAGTAACCACCTGGAAGTTCATGAAATGCAGCGTATTGGTCAAAATATCACGTTTTTTTCGTATCTTTACGAAAAGTATAGGAATTTTCTTTCGTGCGCTGTAACAGATAAAAAAAGCACCAGTAATTTGCAGGGTGTTTCAAAAAAAGCGGCATCGTTGTTAGAATATGTAGAATACTGCATAATAACTTGGGTTTGTTCTGTAATAAAAAAATCTCAACGGCATTCATATTCAAAATACAAGCTGTTGAAACAACAATTATTATTGTACTTCTACTGGCAACATTATAATAACATTTTAAATATATATGTTTTCGCATTAATTTGTTTTAATACTGATGCTCGCTCGGACCATAGCTGCTAGGCTGAAGAGATAGATAGATAGATAGATAGAAAAAAATCATCGGAAATTATTGAATACTTCTTAAGCTACTCTTCAAACTTATTTTCGAGTATACAGGGTGCATCATGAATCCGGGGTGAAACAATCGAAACAAATTTTAAATGGTACACCCTGTATATTATTTCATTATCGGAATCTGTCTCATGCGGGCTTCACGAACCTATTTCGTTTTCGAGGATCTGATACGACGTTGTCAAGTAATCAACATTTTAATCAAATTTTTCTTTCTAGATTAATGCAAAGCAATCACTGGAAACAAATGAACATCTTGACAGTTTCTTCAAAAAGGTTAATCAATTACATTTCAACCGAAGTTTTAGTGACATAATACAGTTGTCAGTTACACTTCTTGGTGTAGCACATTACTGTTGATGATGAATAATTCAAAGGATGAATTGATTGAAATGATATACATTTTGGGTGAGTGTTAAAAGAACTGTATTTTGTCATGTAGAGTAAATGCCCAACGATATTTTGACAGAAGACGCCCAAAAGTTGACTGCTTTTCAAATCTAGCTGATATATTCAATAGTAGTGGTTCTGTGAATTATTTGAAACATCATAAGCAAGCTACTGTTTTAACCCTTAACTACTAATCATACGTCTCAGAGACGGCATATCAGCATCCGATTTGTTGGATTACCCCTGCATTTCAATATCGACCATTGTCCTACCACGTAATTTATGTCCACCCAGCACTCATTCAGTACCCTGGAGTTGATATTTGTATGTGGTTCAGTTTTTGGAATATCTTGAGTGAAAGATAGACTGCCGTCTCGTAGACGTATAGTTAGTTATTACGTAACAATGAAAGTTCAATTTTTCCTATAATACGTATGATTGCGTAATTTTTTTCAATTTGCATGTTCATGACTTAGTTCTGTGTCATATTTTATTACGACTCTAACTGTATTCAGAATGACAATAATATCATCGATAATTTTAGTATTTCAATTTAATTTTAGTATTTCTATAGATCAATGTCAAAGTTTTGAACATTAGGTACCCCTCTATGAAATTTTGATCGCCACTGAAATTTGTATTCGATTTTGAACATCATTTTCCCTTTGCCAAATATGCAGAGAACGTATTTGAATACCTCACAAAAAAATCAAAAAAATTAGATTTATATGGACATTTAAACAGTCCCGTCTGTGAGACGTATGGTTGGTGACAACGTTATATATTTGGAACGTTAGTAGTTAAGGGTTAACCAAAAGGAACGAGATGATGATAATGGTGGCTGTGATTGATAACTAGAATATAAGTAGGTTGAGAATTGAGCCAATATGTCGGAATTTCTGGAACTTCAGTACAACGGATAATAATGGAAAATAAGTTTCATCCATTCCATATTCGATTACACCAAAAACCCCTACCACGGGATTTCAATCGCTGAATAGAACATTGTAGGTGGTCAATGAGAATATCAACACTGAAATTTTTCTAGAAAGGTTCTTCACACTGATGAGACTACATTACACGTTTATTATTTCAGTTATCGACTCTATTGGAAATTACACAATATTTATGTTGAATTAAATATCATTATTTCATTTATCTTTGTGTTACTGGGCATTCTATTTTCATTGGCGATTATATTATACCTACACATTGATTGTCAGTCAGGTTTTATCATACAGGGTGTCATCAATGATCACATTATTGTACTTTTTCTATTTATAAGTGTATTATGGTTTTGGGTGATTACTAAGATTTTGAATTGGATTATCACGATTTTACAGAGGGCGTGGTAGAAGGTGGAACCATTCAAGACCGTCAAGGCGAAGCATATGTTAGTGAAATGGTTGAGCAACTATTGGCAATCGACCTCATATGCAGAATTTTCAGAAGATTGGTTAGCAGCAGGTGGTTCTAGCAGTAGGCGAGGCTTCTGATCTGGTGACACCTGAGCCTTTGGGTTCACAAACGGGCGAAAGCAAGAGAGAATGAGGGATTGATAGTAGCAGGCGGCTATTACTCCTTGGCTCTGAAGTGGTGGATTACTACGATCCTGATAATGCTGATACCAACATCGGGAGGTGGCTACAGAAAATCGACCAGCTAGGAGCTGTGCACGGATGGTCAAGCTACGAGAGTTCCAAGACGAAGACTCTGGTGTTGACAATTGAAGTTCCTGTGGAGACAAACTGTCTGAGGCGAAACGAAAGAACGTTGACGAGAAGGTGTTTCAATTTTCAGAAGACTTCGAATCATCTGAGCAAGGACTGTCTTCTACCCAGTGTAAAACGGTGCATAGGATGCAGAGGACGGGATCACCGATTGGCGGGATGCTCCAGGCGATAAGCGTCTGGCGACAGGCGACGCAGGTGAGATTGATGATTGATCCTTCAGATAGCTCTTAGGAGTATGGTCAGGCAAGGCGATTGGGACTTGCCACCACGGCAAACGGTGAGGGACGTGTTCTGTGAGTACGGTTTGAGTGGATAACATAAATGTCATGGATGGAGCAGGCTATTATACCATGGCTAGGCAATTCCCCGAAGGTAAATCTTTGATGATTATACCGGAGTTATTGTTGGGCGGATCACGAGATATCAAGGTGATCAATGCTGGTGACGAAGAAGTCAAATGGCGGAAAGGTCGACTATTCGCTCGAGCCGAGCAAAAGATTGAAGCAGGCGACCGATACTACTGAATTCGAGTAGGGCAATAATTATTTGTTACTGAATTAGATTTTTCTGGACCGAATGTAGGTAACATTGCAAACAAATATTAAAAGCGGTTGTTTGAATTATTGAGGCGTTATTCGACTTGTTTTTCTAAGGGTGACGACAATCTTGGATTAACCACTTCAGCAAACATGCAGACCAAACTGACAACAAACGTGCTAATTCATTACAGGCCTTATAGGTTATCCGATAAGAAGAGGAAGTTGGTGTGTGATGAGGTGCACAATCTCTTGGATGCTGGCGTAATACGGGAAAGCGAATCGGAATATGCCAGTTCTATTATTTTGGTTTCAATGAAGAATGGCGGGGTGAGACTGTGTGTGGATCATAGGGCGTTGAATGCTATCACAGTGAAGGATAGGTATCTACTTCCGTTGATCTCAGGTCAACTTACCAAATTGGCAAACACGAATTTCTTCACTCACCAGAAGTTTTCCAGTACATCATCAACAAGATGTTGGGTCCACTAAGACATGGAGAAGTATTGGCATACATCGACGACTTGTTGATTCCCTCGGCTGGCGAAAAGGAGGGTTTAGACTTATTAAAGTTGGTGTTGAATCTAATAAAACAGGCGGATGTGAAGTTAAACTTGGCGAAATGTTCGTTTCAACAGAGACACATCGAATTTCTAGATTTTTCAGAACCTCAAGATGTCCATCGTGTACGGCAGTTCTTGTGATTGGCGTCGTATTCCAGGAAATCCATATATAATTTTGCGGTGTTCGCAAAACCGTTAACATATGTCACACGGAAATGATAGAAAATTTCACTTCCAATTGGATCGATAGTACGACCAAAAAAGGAGGACTGGAAAAATGCCTCAATGGTGGTCACCCCAGAGTCAGTGAAATGGGCAATGAATTATTTCTCCCCATTAAAGTCTCCGCAGGAGGACGGGGTTTTTCCCACCCCCTTACAAAAGGGTAGAGAAGTTTCACTACCTCTCCTGGTTAAATTATTTCGAGCGAGTTTGGCGTGGAGCTATATTCCACCGGGTGTACCACTAAGGAAGGACGCCGGCTGTATCTCGGAAACTATTTACCGCACAGGTTTCGGGAAAAATATTTATGATAAAAGTGGCCAAGAAAAATTTCTGTAAATTATTTTCAAATTTCCAGGACAGCCGCTAGAGGGCATAATTGCATTGGCCAGTTTAAAAACGGATTTCATGAAAATTTTATATATCAAGACATATCAAAAACACCTTCTTCATGGTCTCGAGTTGATATTCAATCATTTTGAAAAAAAAAAATTGGACTAGCTTGTAGTAAGGTTAATTGTATTAACTGTGATTATGATCACAGGGTATATTGGTAGATGACAATAGCTTTGACAAGTTGTCTAGCTATTGTCATCTACCAATATACCC